GATGTACAAATATGTCGGATACAACTGATGTATGGTTTATAACAAGAGTTGTAAGAGCTCCCAATAAAATAATCACACACAAAAAGAAAACGTAGCAGGAAGAAAAAAAAAGAAAAAAGAACAGCCCCCATCCTCCGAGCAGGCCATAGGACAGGGTCTAGAGGTCCCCTGGTGCAGGACATTCAATCAGCAGCCCACGATTCCCGAGTAGCTCCTTGATTCTGGGCCTGCGTCCCTGCCCCCGGGTCACACAAACCAGCAGTCCGTGCTCAGTGGGCGTGGGTTCAAAGGAGTGGGTGTTAGGGACCTTTGGAGCCTCTCCCATCCTGTGCCCGGGCCTGTTTCCTTAGAAGACACGCAGGGTTTCATCACAACTAGCTACTCACCTGGCCTCGGGAGACCTGCCCCTCAGATCAGTGGTGACTGATAGGAAAGCCTGGCACGTGTGAGTGTGTGTTTTTGTGTGTGTGCGCGCGACACGCACACACCCCTCCAACCACCACCGCAGGACCTAGGCAGCGTGGGGCGAGAAGGAGGCATGCGGATTCATACCCAGGAGTCAGGGTTTGTGGTAGCACAGCCTTGAGGGAGGGGCTGACTCAGGGAGGACTTTCCAACTCCAGGGGAGTCCCAGCGAGGACCCCAAAAAGGGATGCCTTGCCTTCTGATCCTGCCTCTCTCCGGGGCCTCAGGGTGGGTGCTGCGGGGGCCAAGAAGCTGAGGGTGGAGGTGCCAGGTAGGTAATCCGAGGCCCAGTCCGCGGCTGTCATTCCATTCCTACACTCTGTCACAACAAGACGCTGTCCCTGCCTGCCGTAACCTTCTCGCCTTGTCTCCTGCAGGGAGACCCAGGAAAAGCACGCTGGGGGTGACGCTCCTCATCATTTTCCAGGTGAGATTTCCCGCCAGGGAAAATTCTGTTCTCTTCTCCACGGCCCACTCCCAAGCCAGGCGTTCTGGGGGCGGAGCTGAGCATCTACCTGGAAAACCAGGGAAACCCAGACACAGACCCCCTGGCTGACCGGTCAGGAGGCCAATGGCGCTTCTCTCTAGCTGCTGAGTGACCATGGAGATGTTCTCTGGCAGGCCTGCCGGCCTTCACTCCGTGTAAATGGAAACCTGGGAGAAACCAGTCACCGCCACTTCCCCAGCCCAGCGCCAGGCCGGGAGACAGAAATGGGGAATCCGTCTGCGTTCAGAGAGCGCAAAGCCACAGCAAGCAGGCCACAACGCCGGCTCTCAGGCCTCGCTGTCTTCCTGCCAGGTTTACACAGAGGGCACACACCCACACAAGTTAGACGTCACAGGTGAAGTGCGAAAGGAGCCCTCAGTTTGGTGGCCGGGTTCCTGTCCTCCCCTGCCAAGTCCTCTCCCCACACCCACACCCCTCCTGAAAGCCCCAGCCAAAGACTCCCACTGACTGTGCGGGAGGGGAGAAAGAGGGTCCCAGGGCACTGGGGAGGGGCCAGGGATCAGTGCACACATTGCCAGGGGACCAGGCTCTGCATCTGGGGAGAGCCACAAACATACACACCGCACCCTGTCAACCAGTCTGCTTCTCAGTCTCAGAAACGGAGGCAAAAAAGCTGCTCCCACTAAGGCCTGAGTCAGAAGAGGCTGTCACTTGTGGGGCACCCACTGCCCCCACCCCTGCCCCCATCCATCTGTATCGGGTGAGAGTCCCTGGGAGGGAAAGTGTAGGCTTCGGACCAGGCGTGGCCCCGGCTCTGCAGGCCAGAGAGGCAGCTTTGCAGGAGCCCTGGCCAGAAGCAAGCCCCAAGCCTGGCACCGTTCCTGAAATCCCATCCCTGAGCCCCGCGCCCTCCCCCCAGTCCACTGCCTGGCCCCCTTCCCCATCAGCACTCCTGCCCGCCGCCCCCTCTCCCCCTGGGCTCCGCAGGCTGGCCAGCCAACAGAGTAGGGTGAAAGGTTGAGCGTGGCCGTGGGACCTCTGTCTGTGGCTTGTGCTTCTCTTTCACGCGTGCTCAGATGGGGGCAGGAAGTGGTGGGTCTGTGGGCTACGGCGCCATCAAGGCTGATGGCCAGTGGGGGCGGGGGCGGAGGGGGGGTGGAAGGTAGGACTGGGTAATGGGAGCAGTGCCCTCCAGGTAAGCCCAGAACCAGGGACCTGCAGCCCTGGGCTTCGCTGTGCTTGGGAGGAGGGCAGCCCGCCAGAGGAAGGGCGGGGGCACTGCCTTTTCTACTTGCGGCAGCAGTGCCCAGAGAAAAGGCTCCTGGGCCTCATGGCTCCTCAGCCTGCCCTGAGCAGGAGGCACAGAAAGGCAGACAGGCATCAGGGGAGTTGGGAGGCTGGGACTCCTAGCTTCATTACCCTGGGCAAGCTCTTCTGAGCCTCCCCCTCCTCATCTCTAGGCCCTTCCAGCTCCCCGTCATTGGGAAAGCCATCTCTGAACTCAGGGCACTGAGTGGTCCCCCAGGACCTCAGAAGGGAGGCAGGTCACAGGCACACACACCCTCTCTGCTCACCCCAGTGTCCCTGGGGGGCCCATCCCTCCTCCCTTCCCTGCGGTGGGGTTCACTGGGTCTGAAGGGGGAGCCTTTCAGAATGGATAGCCTAGGGACCTGGCCACCAAACCAAGGGTTCTTCCCTCGGCCCACCTGCCATCTTACTTGTGTGGGTGTGCACACACACGTGTGCAAACCCTGCTCACCTCCCTCCCATTCTTGGGTTTGGTAGCCCCTCTCTCTCCCATGGGAGAGAGCCTTGAGGCAGCCTCCCGCCATCATCTAGCCCTGCTTTCTCTCCCTCCACCCCTGCCCCCCCACACACACCCTGCTTCCTGCTTCCTGCTCCAGCTCCCAGCGCTGCACCCTGCACCACCCACTATCACACACCCCCAGCCCAGCACACAGAGGCACGTGTTTCTCCCCATTGATAAAATCACTGCAGGAGGTCGCCTGAACCTCCACCCCTACCCCAGTGACAGGCTAAAAAAAGCAGAGCAGCTGAGCCCTGCTGATTGGAATCTGCCGGAAGAGAGGGAGGGCTGGAGCCCACCCGGAGAGAGCGGGAGAGGCCAGCTGCCTGCAAGGTGGGGACACGCTGGGCACCTTGAAGGCTGAGGCGTTTGCCTTGCTCGACTTCTGCTGGGAACTAGGCTCCTTACTACTGGCCCCAAGGACCCAGAAACACCTCCACACTGCTCGCCCACACCCAGGGTGCCAGTCCCGGGGACCTCGGGCATGGCACAAAGAACGGCTGCTCCCTCCTGAGCCACCCCTACAATGGGTCAGGGATCCGGTGTTGTGATTGGCGGGGTGTCCATAGGCTGCCTCAGAAGCAAATCACTGGGCTGTCTTCTCAGGCCACCTTAGTTTAGAAGCTCAGCTACAAGCTGTGTAGCGTCGTAACACACAAGCCTCCCCTGGCAGATGCCCATGAGGGTACTGACTGGAAAGTGAACCCAGATCGCCTGCATGAAAGGGGAGAATCCAACCACTGAGCCCCCACCGCCCATCAGGGGCCCACTGGTGGGATGTTCCGGCCTTCCTCCATTCCTATTCCAGGCCCTCCTCAGCCCTCACCCCAAGGAGGATTTTTTATTAACCCCTCAAATGCTGAAGTATCATGTAGGCCCCTGGAAAGTTCTTTCCACCGGGTTCTAAAGGGCGGGCTCAGGAAGGGTTGCAGCAGGCAGAAAGAATCCAAATGAAAACCCCTGTGGAGAGGAAATGGTGCAGGCCTCTTCCAAAGGGCAGTTGAAAGTCTCACTCAGCCCTCCCCGAGGTGCCAGCGCCTGCCTGGGTCAGGTATCTGTGTCCCTGGGTTCAAAGAACTCTAAGACAGCCACGTGAGGAAGGTGTTGTTCACCTCCTGTGGTTCGCAGAGGCCACGTGTGTGCCACCAGCTGGAGGCTCACCTTGTTCCAGAGCCCAGATATTTCCAGTCCCCTGTGAGCAAATGAAAGGCTGAGACTCTCGGAGCTGACAAGAATCAGACCCTTGCTATTCACTGAAAAAAAAAAAATGCAGTTTCCAAAATCATTCCATGGGAAAGAGAGAGTCGCTTCCACAAATGGTGCTGGCAAAATTCAAACTCCACCCCCCTGACAGCCAACCACAACAAACCTCTCTGGCACCCAGTCCGTTTCCGTTCACAGCCACCCTGGAGGACAGAGTAGAACTGCCCCTGTGGGTTTCCGAGATGGCAACCCTTTAGGGGAGTAGAAAGTCTCATCTCCCACAGGGCGGCTGGTGGTTTCAAAGTGCTGGCCATGTAGGTAGCAGCCCACTGTGTCATGCTTATGCCCTGCATCTTAACAAAGTGCCCCAACCCTCCCCTGTCCTGAATTTGCATCAAAGAACTGCCTGGAGAGTTTAGAAGAACTTAACTTCATGGGTCACACCCCCTGAGAGTCTTACCCCCACCACCACCCC